TGAAAAAAGAGGTCTTCACCTTTTTACCCTCTCTCTCTCTCTCTCTCTCTCTCTCTCTCTCTCTCTCTCTCTCTCTCTCTCTCTCTCTCTCTCTCTCTCTCTCTCTCACTCTTTCCCCACCCCCCTCAAGTTTCTCTTGAGTATGTCTTGTTATCCATTGGCTGAGTCTGCAGCTGCTGGAACTCAAGGAGACTCTATCACCCAGAACCCTGGGGAGTGGCAGGAAGGAACGCGTGACAGTAACTCTTGCACTGATTCCTTTCTACATGGAAACCACTTTGCTTTCCTTTTTCCCACTGGGGCTCATATGCATGTTTGAAGGAAGAAGGCAGAAGTGAAGACGAATGACCATCTTTGGGAAAATCCCCTGGACTGCCTTCTGGCAGGCTTTGAAGGCGTTCTGAGCCCAGGCAATGAGAGTGGGGTAGCAACTGTATCTATATTAGTACCAGCAGCTTTGTGGCACTGTCACTCACAATGGGACTGCCTCATCAGCAGTGCAGAGTGTCAGTGCCTGTTTAGTAGTTCATCTTTTGTCTGCCAAGCTTCACTGCTCAATATAGTTTTAGGATTATTTTAGTTAAGTGCTTTGGAAACTGTTCCCTGTGTGAAAACAAGCATCCTTATATTCTAATTCCAATTCTATAATTTGTGGTGGGATGAGGAACAAAAGTTAACAGTCAATAATACTTTCAGTGTAGTAAATTTACAGCCAGTCTAATGCTAATTAAAAGAACCCAGACCCATGTGGGGTCCAGGTAAGTGACTATTTTTTTCTTGTGCCTATATCCCCCAAAAGTTATTATGGCCCCCCAAATAAACAACTCCTAGAATGAGGAGACTGTATCAGCTTCACCCCTCTCCCCCAATGCAGGGCACCTTCACTTGCTCTTTGCTTGTCCTAGAGTCTGTTACCTTCTTTTTTAAATCAAAAAGTAAAAAGATGGCAACCACGGACTCTACTCACAGTATCACACCACCTTCCTCAATCTTGGCTTAGGGAAGCCTAGCCCTTTACAAGCCATCAGCTTTGCTGAATAGAAAACTCCACTTGAAGGGCTGACATTTTAACAGCAATCTGACAGCAGCAATGCACTAAGAGCCTATCCAGGGTACCCCACCTCACACCCCAGGACACCCTGCTGGTCAAGATCCTTTCATTGTTTCTAAATACAATGAAGAAGGAAAGGAAGATAGGGGCCAATATCTGTAGCAGCAGCAAAGTTCTTTGGCAAATACTTTGGTTGACTGAGGCACTTCTGCTGTTGAAGTTAACCTCCCAAGGCCCAATGAACGCATCAGCAACTAGAGGGCTGGCTGAGCTGAACTGTACCCTACCAAGCACGTGCCCCAGTTAGCAAGGAGTAAGGGATTGAGCTCTATAACAGTGCAGATTGGCTACCACTCCTTTTTTTTTTTTTTTTTTTTTGGCATCACCTGCCTGAGGGCTGTTCCAGACTAGAAACTGGCTACTGCTGTAAGGGTCTTGGCAACAGCAGCACACTGGTTGCATCCTTCAGTTCTGGCTGGATTGGCATTTGCTGTGAGGCTGGTAAGGGATGAAGCTTACAACTCCCGTGAGTTTTCATTCTCTGAGCCAGGCTCCAGGCTAGGAAAGCAGCTTGTGGACAGAGGAGCTCCCTCTGCACTCACCTTTACCCATTCCTGGGCTCAGAGATGGTCGAGAAACAGGTGAACCTTTGTCTGTTTTATATATCTTTGGTTGCAGGGAAACAAATTGAATGTTGTTGGGAAGTGCTAAGTCATCCAGACTTCAAGGGAAGTAAAGGGTCAGGCTATAGTAGGAAAGCCCTGAGTTCAAGGTGAGAACTCCTTTCTTAGACACTTGTCAGCTGTAAGGGGAAGAATCCAAAGCCTTGCACACACAGCCATAGTGAAGTCAGGCTGATCTGCAGAAAATGCTTTCCTTCTGGCCTAACTTCCCTCTCCAATTACCGTCTTCTTGTCTTGTTAGTTAAAAAAGAAATAATCAAAACAAAAATAAATAAAATCAAAAGGCCATTTAAAATATGACAATAAGAACCTCCCTCCCTCCACTAATGAAACATGAGTCCAGAAATCAGCTTTAGTAGAGTTATTAATAACCTGCAGCATGAAGCCTGTGGGGCAGGTATCTGTGACCCCTGGTGATAAAGGAAAGGTAAAATGAAATAGGAAGTGTTAGGCCCAAAGCCTTAGGACCAGAGGAAGGGCCACTGTAGCCAGGGCTGAGAATAGTCCTCTTCATTTTCAACCAAATGCTGGGGAAGTTGGGAGCCAATGTTTAAGCCTCGTTTCTTCCATCAGGCACCTCGGAACTCCCAACTTCTGTTCATATTCTGTTAAGTATAATTACTCCTCCTCTGTTTCCCACTGCAGGAATAAGGAAGAGCCTTGGAAATAGTGACAGATGAATGCCCTCAGAGGAGCCAGATCTCTGTGGACAATGGATGAGCCATGAGCTTGAGAAGTTGGTCATGGCATGAGTCAGTGGTGAATGCATGCTGTCTTTGGGAGCACAAAGAAGGATGACAGTACTCTGTTGGTTCTGTGTGTAGTGAGGGCTTGCCCGTGCAAACCATGGGAAGGAGAGTGTGGCTGCATGATCACTTCTTGCTGCAGCTTCTACTTCTTGCTTCTACTCCTGAGAGTAGAACTTGGAACTTCTCCCAGTTCTCTGAGGTGACTGGGAGCACTGCTAGGTAGAAGCAGTGAGCACCTTCAGGTTAGAGAGTATGGAGCAAATAGCTAACTAACAACTATCTACTTGCTAATAGACCGCTAAAGAAGATGGAAAGCACTTCCCATTGTGCTTAGGCAGGGATGACCTGGCAGGATGCTGGTAGAATTAGAAATTGCTGGGCCCCAGGAGTAGGCTCTCCCTGAGACATTTGAGTTGCTCTTCCCCGAGCTTAATCTTCTCTTTCAACTCTCGCTGCTCAATGATGAGAGCAGATTTCATCTTCACAAAGTGCTGGTAATCTTGGAGCTGGTCCTGGCGCAGGTAGCAGGAGACCATGTCGAACACCAGCTTCTCCCGACGGTCTGCATGCTCCTTCAACTCCTTTGCATCGGCCAACTGTCCTGTCAGCTGCTGCTTCTTCTCTATCAGCACCAACTGGGGAAGCAGAAGACTGATTATACACCATCCTGACTTGCAGTTAGGTGTCAGCCTAACCTACCATTCCTTCAGGGTGCTGCTATAAAGTGACTACCCACTTGCTAACTGATCAGTAACAGATTTCCTTTCCTAGAGTTCACCTTCTTGCCAAAGCCATTCTTTTCTGTAGTGGGAACAGGACACAACAATAACTCTGGATTTCTTTCCATCTCTATGCTGTCTTGAATTTCTGGCTTACCACTGGGTTGGAGAAGGGGAGGACTCTGAGAAGGCAACCCATGTCCCTTCTATCCAGTGAATAGCCATCATCGTGATAATGCTTTCAAAATGGAGTGTCTCTATGTGAGTGAACTGTTATGTCCATTGTTCGTATGCATAAGCACCTCTTACTGTGGATTTCAATTTGTGGCCACTTGTACAGGGACAGGTTTGGTTCTGGAATGTTCCATTTTGGTCAGGAATCTATGCAGTGTCCCAACCTGTGAAACTGAAAAATCCCAATATCTACTTGGTGAGAGCTTCCCCTTCAACTTAAGAGAGTGAGGGGAAACTGTTGCTATTGCTGCTACTACTACTATTCTTACTCCTACTACTGGCAGCTATAGCTCTAGTAGAGTGCCTTGCTGAGCCCTAAGATGCTGATGATGGTTTGGGTAGGCAGTGAGGGCATGATGGTGTCTAGTACTGACTGAGCATTCATCCTGATCCAGGCCCGGTTTTAAGTAATTGACATGCATTATCAAATTTATTCTCACAACCATGTGAGTTTAAGAAAGCTGCCCAAAGTCACAAAACCTACTAGTGATAGGGTCAGAATTTGAAGGTAGTTAAAAGCCACTGCTCATACTGTTAACATTCTGCTCAGACACCTCCCAGACTAGTCAAACTTGAGAGGGTACCCTGCTAGAAGTAGATGGCATTTCCCACCGTCTATATCCAACTCTACCTTATCCTGATTGGCCTCTGAATCAATGCTGTTGAGAGCATTCTCAACCCGGGCCAGCCGTCCGGAAAGTGACAGCAACAGGTTGACTACTTTGTCCAGGTCCCCGATAAACAAACGATATTTTTCAAATTCATTGGACTTGCAGACGGCTTTTAGGTTGGCCTCCACCTCCTCTCCAAGGGCAGAATTGGCACTGATATCCTCCAGCAGCCCTCGCTGGGCCTCCCGCAGAACAGAAAGCTTTCTGCCAATACTTTCAATAAGCTGCATCTAGAAGTAAATAGGAGAAGGCAAATGAGAATGGGATTAACAGAAACTGATCAGGGCCTCCAGTCTCTGTTTTGGGATCCAAGTAACAGATGGTCGATTTCCCTACACCCCCCTCCCCAAGTCACTGGAAATAAGAGAAACCCGAGTAGCAAAGAGCAATCCCAGTTTTCTAGATGAGCATGTTATCCCCTATCTCCTCTGATCTGTTAGAAATCTTTGTTACTACCAAACTTCTTGGATTTAGATAAATAATACCCTGGGCTAAGCTGCACTTGCCAAATGTAGCTTAATAAATACTTGCTGAGATTATTTAATAAACAGGAACTGGAATGCTTATGACATCAGTCTCCTTCAATCCATTTAAGTACCTCTTCTGTTCATGGTACTGCGCCAGGTCTTTGCTCCCTCAGTTTGGCTTTAAGGCAGCTTGGATAAGAGTGTGAGTTCTGCAATCACAGTGACTTGGTTTGATTTTTAACTGTCACTTCCTAGTTATGTTTCTTTAGGCAGCTTTATAGGTTGAAGGGGGTTTATCAAAATACAAACTCTGTAGTAATAAGGATCCAGTGAGATAATGAGGTGAAGGGGTCAACTAAGTGCTTATTACAAGCTGCTCTTACAGTCATGCGTCACTTAACAGTGGGGAGACCTGAGAAATTTGTCATTCAGCGATTTCATGATAGGATCATCATGGAGCATAATTGCCCAAGCCTAGATGGTGTAGCCGCTGCGCACCTGGGTGCTACAGCAGACCTGTATGTTCAGTCTGAGTGTCACTAAGAGACCCACAATCATCTTATTATTTATCCTGGTCCTGCCCCACCATACTAATCTCACCCTTTAGAACCTTTGAGGGTTCTCACTCTCTTCTGCGTTGGTGACACTCATGTGTGTCCCTGATTTGTTTATGCAGCTCTACTTGCCTTTGTATTTCTTCCTTCACTTTGACTATCCTTATTTTGTTCAGGGTCCAGCTTTGCCCCACTCTCCTTGAAGGAAGCCCCTGCCCCCTAACTCTTTTCTCTGTGATATTTTCTTTATTTAACTCTTTTACCCTATAGTGTCACTTGAAGTTGTTCACTTTTTATTTTTTTAATATTTGTTTATATATGCAAACAGAAGTGAGGCATAGGCCAGAGGTGTAGGGGTGGTGAGAGGATTCACCAGAGACACAGTGGGGAGCAGAATAAGTAGATGTACTGCTGAGGGGAGCAGCAGATGAGACAGGAGAGGTCTGCTGCACCTCTCTGGGTCACCTCCCTGGTCAGGGATATAACTTGTGCTGAAGCGGCTGCAGATGGCTTCACGGTGCTGCACTTTAACCCATTGTGCCACCAGGGAGGGCCTTGAAGTTGTTCACTTTCTGTTTCATGTGTGTGAGTCAGAAACTCTGCTCTGCAACCATGCCAGGCCGGGCGGGCTCATCATCAGTTCAGGCAGCTCCAAGGTTCCCATCTTGGATCCCTTGGCATCATCCCCACAGGTGTTCTAATATTACTTAAGGGAGACAAGACAGCAGGGAGACAGCAACTTGGGTCCCCTGAGAATCTCTATATGCTTTTTCCTCTCATAGCTGCTCTCTTCTGCTCTTCACTCTGCCTCATGGTCCTCAGCCACACTGGGGCTTCTGTGATGTCGCCCATATACACTTAGTCTCGTGGCTCAGCTGTGCCCACTTACGCATGCCCATATCATGCTCCAGGTGTTCACCTTTAGGCATTTGTACCCCAAACCCACACTCTCAAGTGCCTCCTGCATTCAGGGCTGCAGGTGATAGGCACGTAGGCCAGTGGCACAAAGCCTGACCATCACTTACCCTACACTGTCCTACTACTGATTGTAGGTGTTACAGGGAAGTGCTACCTGTGTCTTGAATTTTCTTCTCTATAAGCCTGACTAGTCTTAACACTGTCCTCACAGAAAAGCAGTGTGGTAGAGGTTTTGAGTCAAAGATGCCTGTATTCCAATTCTGCCTCCTTCAGGTTGTGTGACCTTGGCCAAGATACCTAGTCCCCCTGAGACTTCAGTTTCCTCACCTGCAAGAAAAGAGGGCCTCTTACCCTCCCCTCACCACTGTTTTGAGAGTTGAATGAAATTATAGAATATTTCATATTATTTGTGTCACATTAAGTGCTCAATACATGTTTACTGATGTTACTATTATTTTATTAGTATTACTGTTATTGCTACATTTTACTATCATGTGCAAGTTCCTCACAAGACTAGATCTACCCCACCCAAGTTGCCTGAAGCTTTGGTAGATAGTTACTCTCTGCTGGTCAGCAGCATGGACTCTTGCACTAGACTACCTGGGGGTGAAACCTCCTTGGAGGGTTCACTTTGTGTCATGCCACAAATGGTGTGACATGTAGAAAATTACTTAATATTTCTATGCCTCAATTTTCCTATCTAAAAAATAGGTTAACAATAGTACCTACCTCATAGTTTTATTATAAGAATTAAATGCTTAGTAAAGTATCTTGTTTATAGGAAGATTATTATAATTCCCACCCTGGCATACTGAGGATCAGGGCCCAGATTTTAGATTTCTACAGTGTTTCCTGTCTAGTAGTCTTTTAGAGATGTCCAAGATGAAAGATCAAGGTAAGCTGCTCTGGGCCCAGGGGCTCTTATCATATTTCATATCTGTTCAAAAGTCCAGAGGCCACCATACCCCTAGTCTGAAGTGTAACTAGTTAACATTTGGGGGAATCTGCAAAGCCACTGGGAAATAGAGATCAGTGATATGAGTGAGGCACCACCCCTGGATGCCAAGAGCCTTCAGTTACCTCCCTACTTATTGCTTTCCCAGACAAAACTCAATGTCAGGAGTATGGGATGATGGGCAGGAAATGATCAGTTCGGACACCCACCTACACGTCTGAGGCTCCACAGATCTGGAAGGAAGAAAGTTTTCTCCACACTTGGGATTTTCAATTGAACTTCAACTCTGGGGAAATTGGCAGGTGGAGCTTGGAGCCATCACGGACCCACTTAGAGCTGAGATGCTTTTCTGGCATAGGGCAGATCTTCGACTTCTTTACCTATCTTCTGCAGCGACAAGACACTGTCCTAGCCCACTTTCAATCACTTTAATTTACTATCTGCTCTTCTGTGCTTTACCATTTCTGAGCTTTCTTCTGTCTACTGGTCAGTCTTTTATTAGTTTTTTTCTTAACAAACGGCTTAGAAAAAAACAGAAATGTCCCTGCCATGTTCCAGGAACATGGAACCTTAGGAGTAGGCATCTGGGTCAATGAAACTTTGATATCATCATACTTCAAATTATTTTCCCAACATTTTGCTTCCAATTGGAAAGTGGTGATGGTGGTGGAGTTCTGACAAATGGCCTTGAGCCTTTCTATGGGTCACATTCTGAATAAGAATTATGAGCAGAAGAGCAATTTACACTGAGTTCAGATGTCCACAAAGTGGTAAATTGGGCCTTTGAGGTTGTCATGGAAACCCTATTTGCTTATGAAATAAAATGGGTAAGTGCAGGGAGGGAAAAGTGATTCCAGGAATTTGATTAGAAAACCAGCCTAGTGGTACTTGGAAGAAGAAAGAGTAGGCTTCAGAACAACATCATCTCCATTTATTTTAGTACTTTTAAGAGATTATTGACTATCCTTGCAAATAAATACTAAAGTTTACCAGCACATAATATGTCCTTTTTTCCCCCAGTCTGTTCTCTTTTCCAGAAAGTTACACAGAGAATACAATCAATAACACTGCCATTGGTTAGTGCACAGTGGCAAAAACTCTGATGTGTGGTAGGTGGTGAATTACTTGCAATGCAAGCTTATGTCAGAGGGACAGTGTGAAAGTAAAAGTCAGACATATCTGACTTCAGGTGCTGGATCCTCCGCTTAGTCTGTAACCCTGGGCAACGTGGCCCTCTCAACTGGTAAGAAAAGAACAGTGATGGCTCCCTTGCAGAGTTCAGGATTAGAGAGACAGGATTAGATGATAATGATGACCACCACTATTATGACTGTTACTGACTATATGAAAGAGAGCAACGTCACCCTTGTTAAAAAAAAACTCAGAGAGGCTGTGTGATTTCCACGCTAAAAATACAGGAAGGCATCAAGATGTTCTGGAGAAAGTGGAGGGCAGGTCCACCTTCAGACATTCTGAAGCTAAATGCGGAAAATCTCTAAGGCATATGTGTGTGTGTGTGTGTGTGTGTGTGTGTGTGTGTGTGTGTATAAAGTTACCTTTTTTTGAGCCAGTTCGTGGTCAACCTCCTCCTCTTCCAGGCCAATTTCTGCCATCTCTGGTTGATCTTTCAACTTGTTCAGCAGCTCTGCCTTGGCCACAGAAATATTGTAATAAGTTGAGTAAGAGGTAGGGGTCCCTGGGGCCCCCTGAGGAGGCGAGACATGCTGAAACTCTTGTCTGTGAAAAGAAAGAATGACCATTTGAGCATCTCTGTGGAGAGGCAACTGGCCTTCCTGCTTAATTTCCTCATCTGTAAAATGGGATCCTACTTCACAAAAGTGCTTTATTTCATTTTTAAAAACTGTCTTACACCGTTGTTCATTTTTGTACAGTAACTGGTTTCTCCCCTTGGGTGTAGGAGTTTTGAAATAAGGAAATAACAGAGTAACACTGTTCAAATATAAACAGGCCACATGAAGGCTACCTAGAAGCCAAGTCAAGGTCATCTGCAGGGGATTCACCAGAGACAGAGTAGGGAACAGAACAGGCAGATCAGTAACAGCAATGTACACTGCTGAGGGGATCAGTGGGCGACGAAGGAGAGGTCTGCCATGCCACGTGGGTCATCCCCTGGCCGGATGTTGAACTTGAGCTGAAGCAGCTGTGGCTAGCTTCGCAGTGCTGAGCTTTAACACGCTGCATCACCAGGGAGGGCCCCACTCAGGCTATTTCTAAGCTCCTGACTTCCATAGCTAAGGGGATTTCTCTGGAGATAATTTGGTTGGGTCATTAACACCCCACTAAAGTCCAGAAAAAGCTGGCAGTTCCCTAAGGTGTTCTGGGCTTGTGATCATTAATGGTTGATTGCCCTTGGTTTATTGCTTTTAGTATATGTATCCCAAAGGAGGAGTTAGTTGCAGGGAGGAGTTACGTATCTGGCTATTTGTTCTCCAAGTCTGGTGGTGTTATTAATTTTTATCCTGGACCCCTAACCCCCTGGCTCTATCTAGCCTGTTTGCTTACAAAGGCACCATATGGCTTTCCTGTACACTGGTCATTTCATGGTGCCACTCTCGACTGAGTTGCCCCCACCCCACTGAAAGTCTCCCACAACAAAGAGGACACCCATGATCTCAACAGGGGTCAATGTGTTGGAGGCTGTGCTTAGCAGCCCTGCCAGGAACATGTCATGGCCACCATCTCTCCCATGAGCTCTCACAAGACTGCCTGCAGTGTGGCAAGCCTGAGGTCTGAGGAGGAACACCCCACTTCTGCATATCACTAATGGCCTAGCTGCTCTATGGTTACAGAATGAAATGGGTGGAAGTAGTGGGAACAGTGGCACCCAGGAGAGTGACGAGCCTAGCAGCAGACCCTGTTGTCGTGGGTTCACCATAACCCACAGGGTGGAGGCGCTTGCTTAGAGCCCCAGCCTATGAACAGAACTGCTCCTTAGGAAAGAAGTGGCTCTGGCTCTACACTGGCTTGTGTCTGGACTCTTCTACCATCAAGGTTTCTGGTCTGGTGTGAAGAAGAAAATAAAAAAGAAGGGCTTCAATATCAGGTTTCGCTATGGAGGGGCAAATAATTCTGCCCACGATTTATACAAGATGGAGGCTCACCCCCACCACATCCTTGTGGCCTAACGCTACCCTCACCCTCCTTTCCTTTGTCACTCTCCCTTTGCTAACCACCAGCTGTTTGAAAGGAAAAAATAGGAGAAACTCATTAGTCATTTTTGCAGCTATTTGAAGCTTTTAGATAAAGGTCAAAAATAATGGTTAAAAGGCGCCATAGCTATTTACTGATTCATGCTATGCTGTCTCCTGATTCATGACACAAAAGAAATGGGCATGTCAATATTCCTTATCCCAAATATTCATTTTGCATGTAGGATTTTAAGCTAATAAATGAGGGAATTGATAGACTCAGCTAGCTAACACTAATATGGTGTTTACTATGCCCCAGAAGGTGTCTCAAATGTGTGTGGATGTGAGCGTGTGTGTAAAAATATAGATATAAACGTTAATGCTTATGGCAACCATTTAACAGGTAAGGAGCATGGGGTATTGAGAGGTAAAGTGAGTTTTCCAAGGTCACATGACAGCAGATAGCAAAACTCTGATTTAGACCTGCTTTTAACTACTCCACTATACTGCCAAAGAAACAACTTGGCATCATATTAAACTCTGCATGTAAGCAATTTTCTGGCTGGAATACAGTAGAGAAAAAAGAATATTCTGGAAGGAATATGAATGCCTGAAACTGAGGAAGTTCCCATCTATAAGAAAAATATCTAGGGCATGTGTAAGAGGTCTGAGTCAGAATGTGCAGAAAGTACACAGCATTTTTTCTATTCACAGAAAGGATGTGGCTTAAATTATACCTTACACTTGGAATTCAGATCTGTTGTAAAATGTTAGAACATGATTCCAAATTCATGTCATAAAAAATAAGATTCATTTTTCAACAATAAAAATGAAGATAAGGCTGCATGTTACTTTCATCTCAATGAAATCAGAAATAAATTAAATTAAGAAAAGGACGTACTAATTAGGGGTCAGTGCCCCAGAGCAAACACAACTATATTGTATTAGGCATTGTAGTCTAGGGCTCTTTTCCTTACACCTCCATTAACAGGGCAAGGGTTACAAGTTACAAGAGATCTGTGAGAACATAATCTGTATTTGGTAGTGACACTGAAGCAAAAATCAGAATACTGAGGGGAAGAGCAGAGTACATAAATCCAGTTATACCTGTACTTGAATCAAAACTATTAGACTGAACCAACACTCAAGGATTCCACTAACTTGATTCTACATTTTTAATAATTTATGGGTTATGAACAACACTCTGGCATATTCTAAGAGCTTTGATTCAAGTACAGGTGTAACTTGGCTCAAATTAGGATATATGTAATATATAGGTTATATATAATATACACAGCACATAGAACCTATAATCTATACACATATGTAATATACATGATGTATGTAGCATATAGGTTTTATAGTATGTAGCACATATGGGGGTGCATGTAATATATATTGTATATATCATATAGTGTTATATGTAATATAAAGAACACAAGTTAATATATTATATATAGCATATCAGATATTCTATGTATAGCATGCAGGCATATAACATATAGGATATATAGCATATAGGACATATAGTATATAGGATATACAGCATACCTGTTAAATGGTTGCCATTAGCATTAACTTTTATATCTATATATAGTATAATATCCTATATATAGTATATATCACATATATATATATGATATATACACACACACATAGTATTTATGATTCAAAATAACACACATCTACTTATTCCTAACACTATTCTTCCTTACAAAATCTTGAAATAATTTCCTTCTAATTAGAGTCCTATACTCTCCAAGTGTCTGGTACAGGGTCCTGACAATCACAGAATTCCTAATAGTGAGCTAAGTAGCCTGGGTCTGGCTACCTGTGATCTTGTACAAGTGACTTTATTTCTTTGTAAATTGCTTTTATCATCTAAAAACAAGGATGAGACTAATGGTATTTAATCCAGAAATTTGTTGTGGAGATTATATCAGTCAGCACACAAAAATGCATTGAACAAAGCTTGGTACATAGCAAGCAGGCGAAAATGGTTAGCTATGTTGAGAATGATGCTATTTCTGAGCTCCCCATCACTCAAAGAGGCATCTATAATTGATTTTCACAGCCACAAGTCAGGACTCTATGCAAATAGAGGTTTCTCCTTGCTTCCCATAGTCATTAAAACACAATCTCAAGAATAGGCTACAAGTCTCTGGTAGTAACAATTTCCTTTACTTTGACCACCACACTCAGGTGAATGGAGGTGCATAAAAAGGAAGGAAGGACAGGAAAAGTGTGAAGGCGTATCCTGTCATAGCTGCCTCCAGTACACACTGCCCTCTGGGAGACAGGAGGGGGCTTGGAAAGGCCTGGCCAACTGTTAGAACCAGATATCTCTGGGAGAGGTTGCCTAGGATAGCCAAGAAGCATGGGTCTTAGAGTCAGACTCTTCTGGCTTTGGACCTTTGCTGTGCAATTCAGGCTGTGTTAGCTTCTCATTTACCTCAGTTTTTGTTTCCTCATCTGTCAAATGGGGACAGTAGTGGCCCACAGAACTGTTGGTGGGATGAATGAAATAATGGACATAAACTAGTCAGTGTCTGGCATACAGAAAGTGTTTAGTGCATGTCTGCTCATTCTCCTGAAGTAGTCAGTGCCTACTCTGGGGTGGGTTACATTCTCTTCTTACTCTAATAGGCAACAGTCGGAGTCACTTTCTACAGAACTTTCCTAATTATAATAACAATGCTCCTCGGCTATTGATAGATGAACAAATAGCTGGAGAAGCAACCACCAGGGATCTGATATGGAGAGTTTCACAGCCTCTGGCAGCCAGGCCCAACAAGTGCTGTGCTGGTACCACCTTAGGTTGGAAAACTTTCAGTTAGGCCCAGGTAGCTCAGCAATGGATTTGTCTATTAGTAAAAGATGTGCTCCGAAGGCACTTCTTTTTTAAAAGATTTATTTACTTATGCATACAGAACTGGGGTACAGGCCAGAGGAGCAAGGGTGGTGAGAGGATTCACCAGAGACAGAGTGGGGAGCAGAACAGGCAGATCGACGAAGTACACTGCTGAGGGGAGCAGCAGGCAGGTCAGGAGAGGTCTGCTGTGCCAGGTGGGTCACCGCCGGGGTGGGAGCTCAAACTTGCACTGAAGTGGTGATGGCTAGTTTTCAGTGCTGCGTCCTAACCTGTTGGGCCACCAGGGAGGGCCAGAAGGCACTTCTAATAGCAATAAATATCATGGAAATTTCTTCTCTAAATGGATTTAGAGAAAGCACCTAGGGGACAGACATTTGCTTCTACCCCAACCCACAGCAGAAAGTGTGCTGAGCTCTGTGTTGAGGACCCACGGAGCTGAAAGGCTGAACTTTTTGGCTCTGAAATAATGAGGACAGCCCCGCATGGCAGGCATGCAAATGAGTACTGGCACAGACAGGGGAGGGGAAGTCCGTGGCCAGACGACTCTTGCTTTGGCCTCTCTGCTCATACTGTCCGTGATCACCTACTGCCAGGGTGGGGCGATGGAGAAAGTCTTTAAACGTTGTAAGGAATGAGCAGGGTATCAAGCACTGAGGCCCAGAATCTCTTTGGATGCTGCTGCAGCTGCTGGGTTGCCCAGGGGTGAAGAGTTTAGAAGTTTGGTAAGAGAATGGAGCAGAAGCAGGTCAGGTTATGAGCTGGTCTCTTACTTTTCAGAGAAAGCACAAAATAAAGCAGAAAAGAGTCAGAGCTAGGCTGCAGGACAACATGGACAACACTGGTTTCATGTCCCTAGCCGGGGGACTACAGACAAATGCATGCCTTAAAGACAAGCAGAGCAATCACAAATACAGTATTTTGCTATGGTATTTGTGAATAAAAACAACAAATACCACTTATTGAGCACCCAATATGTCCTAGGCCAGGACGGGATTGGGGTTGGGGGCTGGAAGCTGCATTCTTCACAAAGATTATCTTCATATCCCCAACAACCATGTGAAATAAGTAGCACTGTGCCCACTGTCCAGGTGGGGAAACTGAGGCTGGGAAGTTGAATTGACCAGGCTAATGTCACACAGCTGGAAAATGGTGGAGGTGGAATTTGAACTCATGCTGCTTGCTTCTTCAAGGACATAGTGGCTTTCATCAGCACTTACGTGGGGGAATTGGTGGCCTCTTGCTCTGATGTCCTCCAAAGCCTGCCAACGCCATAGTACCCAGGAGGCTGAGCCTTCTCAGGTGGAGATCCTACACATTCCCTTCTCAGAGGCAGAAAATCACTGGAATGGAGAGCAAAGGACTCTTGCTCTGCCAGGAGACTTTGTGAGCCCCACCTTGCCGGCTCTGGGTGTCCAAAACCTAGGGGCTGTGTCTGCTCCAGGGCCTCCTCGGGATTGAGGGTGCAGGAGCCAGTGGTTTCTGAACTGAAATACTGGGGTGGCAACTCCTCCTCCCCAACCTCCTCTTCTGCCTCTTCTTCCTCCTCCTCCTCCTCCTCCTCCTCTTCTTCCTCCTGTTGCTGCTGCTGCTGCTGCTGCTGCTGTTGCTGCTGCTGGGCTGCCCGGAAAAGCCTGTACTTCTCCAAGTTGGGAGGAGGCGGCCGAGGAGGAGGAAAGGCCTTCTTCCTTGCTCCCAGAGGATCCAGCTGGGTCTCCTCGACTTTGGTAGTGAGCTCCCTCCGATGCTGCCCCCAGGCCTGGGAGCTCTGGGGCTCCAGGCTGATGTGGCTCTCAGAGAAGGCCCGGCTGCGCAGGGGGCGGGGCACGGAGGGCAGGGAGCCCCCTTCCTCATACACTGACGTTTCCTCCGTTTGTTTCAAGGAGCGCTTGCAGTCTCCCAGGAGGTCAAGAGAAGAAACTGCTCGGTAGCTTGACAAGTCTAATGTCGGGTTCTCCAGGTTAGGATGGAAGGGGGTTGTCCACGAAAAGTTAGCTGTAGAATGAGGCATTTCCCTGCAAAAAATGGTAAAAGAGGATTATGTAAAACAACATAGCTACAGTTTTTGAATGCCTGTACTTTGGGCATCATTTATGTAAAATTCCCAACTTCCACAAAACAATACATGTAGTAAATACACGTAATAATGATAATAGTGATACTGATGTATATTATAGCTACCAGTTACTAAGCATGTACTAAATGCCACGTATTATTTTACGTGCTTTCTATGTTTTCATTTTTTAAATCCTAGGTCGCACTAGCTGTTATAACTGTCCTTGTTTTACAGCTGGGAAAAATGAGGCATGGGCAGGCTAAAAAACTTGCTCAGGGTCATAAAGCTAGTAAATTGCAGAGTAGGATTTAAACCTAGGCACTCGAGCTCCAGTGTCTGCACACATAGCACCCTGATTAACTGTGCACCGAAATTAAATGTGCTATGTTCTGGGGCTTAAAAGCCTGGTTATCCTGTTTCATCTGTTCTTTTTGTTTGCTTGGTTTTTAATTATGAAAAATTTCAAATATTTGAAAACACACAGAGATTTCTGTAATAAATATTCATGACCCTACCTATCATCCAGAATTAGCACATTTTAATACTTAACCATAAATGTCTCATGAATCTTTTTTAAAAATTAAGCAACGGCCTTTGTTTTACTCCCCATTTCATTTCCTTGCTACCCCTATAGATGCAGGCTGTATCAGCAATTTGAAATGTATGCTTTCTATCCATGTTATTTTACTTGCACCAAAAAACATCAATCAGGCAATTCACAAATATCTGCCATATTAGTATTACCTTCTAATGAAATTCTAGTCTGAACATGAATTTCATTCTCCACAGGAATTTTAACCTATATTTTGCCTTGCAAAATAAGGCAGGGTGTAATATTAAAGAGTATTAGCTACAGAAGAAATGGGAGACTCTGATTAAGGGATTAATTATATCAGCAAGCAATAATAATTAAAACTGTGTGTTACTAATAATGGGACAGAACAGACAGTCCAGAAACAGATAAAACTATCTATATAGTTTGCCTTCCACAACAAGGAGATTATTTAATAAAACTTTTAAAAATAACAGCAGAGTAGTTATTTGCAGATATACCATATATTACATACCAAAATAAATTCTGATTTCAACAGTTAAGGGTATGTGCATGTATGTGTGGGTGTGTACAAATTATATGTATTTATACGTAAAATACATATATATGTATTTATATATAAAATACAGAAAATTAGAAAATTTTCAGCAGTGAAAGGAGATAAAACTCTCTTGGTTGAAAATATTCAAGGAAAAGGAGTCCAGATTTATTTGGATATGTCTATAAATATGTATTAAAAAGTCAAACTTCTGTATACTAAAGAGCGACCAACTCAAAGGACCTGTCTTTGGTATCAGAGTAAAAAGAGTTAAGCCATAAACCAGAATATCTGGTTTCCTGCTGTAACTTGTGAGCAATCAGCATCATGCTAAGTACTGCCTAGTGACAGGAAATTCCAGCAGTTCAATTAAATCAGCAGAAAGAATACTCATTTAAATACCATGTTGAAGGCTGAGGATATTTCTTTAAAAGACTACTTATACACATGCATACATATACAAACACATATGTATGTATAATTATGTATGTATATGTGTACACACACACACACACACACAGGTAGCCACGCTCAGGCAGAATGGAAACCAAAATCCCCTTTATTTCCTTCATCTCCAGTCTCCATTCTGGCTAGGTTATCACACACATGGATCAGAAATTTATGTATACAAATTCCTATTCTCTTCTTTGGGCCTTAGCCCACCAATATAGTCCTTAAGATTGTAACAATATCTTGTGTGTCAACTCTTTCTCCTGACATTTCCCCCTCAGATAACCAATGCTGTGCCAGACAAGGAGCATTTCTTTACCACCTTATCTGAAACAGAGATGACTTATCCTTTATATTCCTTTTCTATTGTGCTCTTTCTCAGAGCATACACTCCTACCTGAAACTTTATCACATACCTATGTTGTTGAATTTGTGCTCCATTCTTTAACTAATTCTTTAACTAAAACATAAGCTCTACAGAACAAGGATCATCCATTTGGAACCTAATGCTTGCCACATAGTAGGTTTTCAGTAAATATTTGTTTTATAAATTAATTAATTTCCCAAATGAAAAAACAAGGTCATGAAACCCATAACATAAAAATTTGACATAAAGATAAACATTAATAAACAAGACAAAGAGTACTACAATACTAGATTAGAACATAGGATGAAGATCTAACTACCCTGAATATTTATGTACTAAATAACACAGCACCAAAATTCATAAAGTAGAATCTATCAGAAAAGCAAAGGTAGAAAAAAGCAGAAACAAAATGGGAAACTGTTCAGTTGATGCAAGTATGACCAACACTAAACTTAATTAATATAAAATCTATTTTTAAAAATACACTAAAAGGGGGCCCTCCCTTATGGCGCAGCGGGTTAAAGCACAGCACTAAGAAGCTAAAGCCACTTCCGCATGAGTTCGATCCCCGCTGCCCCAGAGGTGATCCCACATGGCGAGGCAGACCTCTCCTGACCCGCCCGCTGCTCCCCTCAGCAGTGTACTTCGACAGTCTGCCTGTTATGCTCCTCACTCTGTCTCTGGTGAATCCTCTCGCCGACCCTGCACCTCTCTCTGGCCTGTACCCCAGTTCTGTATGCATAAATAAATAAATCTTAAAAAGAGAGATAAAAATACACTAGAAAGAGACTATACTTTCTTTTCAAGGGTGTACTAATATTGCTTAAATTGACTTATATTAAGTCAAAAAGTAGAAGTTGTAAAAAATATAGTACCCAATGACAATAAAACAACATGAAAAGTAATAGCAACAACAACAAAAAGACTGCTAGCAGATAGAAAATAAAAGGGAAAAAAAATCCACTCTACTCAAAGAAGAGATCAAATATGAAATTGCAAAATACCTAGAAAATAATAACAATGAAAATACTAGAAGCTAGAGGATATGGATGATTAAAGCAGTGGCCAAAAGTATTAGACACATTAGTGCATAAGAATAAATTAAAATAAATCAACTAAGTATTCAAAAAGAAGTTAAGAAAAAGAGAGCCACAGAAATAGATCTAAGCAAAGAAATTAATACACTATAAAACAAATGAAAGAACTAACAATTAAAATCAAAAGCTTGCTCTTCAAAAGAAAGTAGAAAATGATAAAGCAGATAAACTTCTTGCTAACCTACTTAAAAGATCCCAAATACACAAGATTAGAAAGATTAGAAAGGAAGAAATAACTATAGTTACTTAGAAAATGAATAAAGTAAGAGAATATTTTGTTCCATGGAAACAAATTGGAAGATTTAGAATGGCTTCTAAGGGAAAACCCCCCAAAACTGATTACAGAAGAATAAGAAATCTAAACCCAATAGTTTCTCTAGAAAAAAATACTGATACATTTGACAAAAATACTAGCACATTCACATGGTCTTATATTAATTCTACCGACCTTTAAGGAACAGACAGCACCAATACTTTTTATACTTCCTAATATGGGATCTAGAGACTAGAAGGAGAATGAAAGAATCCCATGTAACAGTCACCACAACACAAGGGCTTTAACATAGGTAAAGGAAAAATAGAGACTATAGTCCTCTAAGATCCTAGTGCAAACTCTTAACCATTTCTGGCATATGAAGACAACCATTAACTAATATGTGCAATATAGACTAAACTATGGGTCAAATAAACCCAAGCTTAAAAACTAAACCTTGATAAGCATGAAGAAGGAAGAGGTGGGGATCAGTGGGTAGGAGAGGGATGAGACAAAGGTGCTCTATGATGATGATACCTGGAGGGAGTGGCCTAAAATCACCCCAGTGAATGATTACTTAAACAGAGAAAATTCTGGATACCTAATTATGGAATCTACCCTTCTTCCTGAGATAGCTGTGTTTAACAGTTGTTTATGTGACGCTCTAGAATATATATAACAAATATATATGCATATAGACATAAATATACATCTCTTTCTCAATAGATGATAGAAGTATATGTACATGTATTTATATATAGGTATATATGCACATGAAAATATAAATTTAGTGATTACTGAAATAATTATCAAATTAAAGAAATTGTCCCTTAAAAATGAAAACAAATATTAGAATATGAGTAGAAGAAATTTACTAATAAATTACTAGTAGTTTGTTTATTAATAAACTACACTGAAGGTGATACTCAAGAATTTCTGAGATGGCTGCGTGATCCAAAAGTTTGGAAACCACTGGTCTGGGACAGCTGTCCCTAATAAAAGTGGCTTCTAATTAGAATTTCTTTTTTTTTAACGATTTATTTATTTATGCATACAGAACTGGGGTACAGACCAGAAGTACAGGGATGGTGAGAAAATTCATCAGAGACAGAGTGGGGAGCAGGCAGAGTGATGAAGTACACTGCTGAAGGAAGCAGCAGGCAAGACGGGAGAGGCCTGCCATGCCTTATGGGTCACCTCTGGGAAAAGAAATTGAACTCGCACTGAGGTGGCTTGAGGAAGCTTGAGGTAGCTGCGGCCAGTTTTCAGTGCTGTGTTTTAATCCGCTGAGCCACCAGGGAGGGACCTAGTTAGAATTTTTATGAGAGGTTGCTTAAAATACAAGTTTCTAGGTTCCGCCACCAGAAATTCAGATTTTCGTGCCTCTGTAGTGGGGCTCAGGAATCTGCATTTTAACAATTTGGCCAAAGGATTCTAATAAAAGTGGTTCAGGGGGCATACTATGGAAGTAAAGGTCTGGAGTGAAAAGGAGGGCAGTGTTATGATTTGGGTGGTGTTTTGGTTGGTTTCCACATCTTTACATCCTGTCCTTGACCCCTCACCACACACTTCCCTCCCTGCTGTCTATGCCCTCTCTTCCCCTCTCACTTCATCGGTAATCTACAGTCTATGAAATTCAGGTGGGAATAGCAAAGTCACTAAAGAGCCTAGTTGGCCCAAGGTTCTGCATTTATGGGAAGA